GTATTTGTAATAACAACGTTTCCAGTTTGCGAATGCATCACAGAATAATCTGGACTATGTGCATGCCCACTTCACCGGTCACTTGCTGGGCGGCTTGCTGGTGCTTCTGGGTTACGTAATTATTAAGCGCAACAAACCATTCGTCAACAGTCAAGTTATGGTACCGGCAATGATCAGTGGCGCAATGTGGGGCATCGGTTGCACACTCTGGTTCGTTTTTAATCGAATTTACTTGGTTCTGTCAGTTCAGAATCTCAGCGTTTCAAGATGTAGCAACACACCAAAAAGTACTAGTCGTGCTTTTCTGCCTTGGAGAAATTACTTTTTTAGCTGCTAGAAACTATTTTGAGCGTCATCTTTTCTAAATTATTATGTTTTGAAAATAAGCTGCGCTTAGCACATGGCTGAATCTCAGTAATATCAAAGATAACGCCATAAGCCAAGTTGTACTAATCCAAAATTTCAAATTCTCAGTTTTTCTGTGTATTTGTCATCAAGTTATACTGATCCAAAATTTTAAATTCATAGTTTATCTGTGAATTTGTGGCTTTTTACCTCCGTCAAAGAACATACCGAACTTGTCACGATACCACGAATATCCGGATAATGTCCCAGGTATGGTGACAAGAGTATGATTTGTAACACCTTATGCAACAGAAAAAGCACAACCGCGAAAGCTTTTTTTGGTGTAAAGCTACAGGAATGAACTGATGTAATTTTACTCAGAAATTGTTCCTTAACAAGATGATGTTGATTTTACAGGTTTATGTCAAACAACTATGTTTCTCAAGCAATCTCATTCCCAATCAATAGCATGGTACCCGGCTGCTGCGCTGTTTTATGGAGTACATTTTTGTTTCGTGAAATTCGTGGAGCAAGAAATTATTTCCTGACTGCTTTTGGAATTGTTTCAACGATTGTTGGAGCGATTATTGTTGGCGCATCCTCATAAAAATCACAAAATTCATGCAAATACTACATGTTTTTCTTGCATATGATGAAGGAAAAACGCTTGTGAGGGTCATGAAATAAATCCACACATGATGGCTATATGTAGGGTAGTATAGCGGATGGAATGCAATAAAAACCTATCAATGAAAATTCTAATCAAACGGACTGAGAAACAGTTGAGACAGAATATTTCTGCTCACTAAGTTGAGCATACAGCCAATTGGACACCACAACTACTTATTTTAATGGGTGCACAAATATTAGCATATTATTTTAATGGGTGCACAAATATTAACATATTTGTGCACCATTAAAATAAGTAGTATTAATGAAATTTGAAACAATTGCCGCTGCGACCATGCGTTTTAGCGCGGATTTGGAAGCAATCAGCCGAATGAATGTTTTTGTTTATAGTTTAGCGTGAATACTCATGTTGGCAGTGTTTTGGTCTTTTCCGCATGCAGAGAAAAAGCTATTAGCTGAGACGGCAGTGCTGCATCACAAGGCCGCGTGAGAAAATATTGATCTCCAGTACGTATGATTGTCGTAAATGTTGCATGAAGGTTTTGTTGACATAAGGCACTCTCAACTTCATCATATCCGTATGCGAGACTTGGTTGTTTGTGAAAACTAATTTTACGTTTTCAATGATGTGCAAGATATACTTACATTTAAGTAAGATTTCTATTTTTTCACCTCACTGATTAATAAGAACAACAAAAGTATTGCAGTTTGAACAACTGACGCACCCTTGCGCAGGGCATATGCAAAATCACGAGCTAATTTTCTGCTTACTGACTTACGCATCGACAACAAACATTCTCACAAAATTCCGTCTTCCTGGTCAGCCTGACTGCAGAGTGAATTAGTGTCAAAACTGTGTTGGACTGAAACTTTACTCATGCGTAACGGAAGAATTAGGCTAATAGCGAATTGAATTTTCTAGCTTGTCAAGCTGCCGAAGTCGTCACTTCGCCACAAATGTTTTTAACACACCCTAAAGCGTGGCACAGTTGCAATGCAGAACTCAATTTAGGTGTGCGCGTCCCATCCCCACTTGGATTTTTCTCGAAATTACAGCTACTTTTTCCAGTTAATTCTTGAATTAGGCACGGTGCCAATGACAAACTTTGACTTGTCCTTACGTAAGAATTGAGTCTCTACAGCTGAATTAAAAACTTTGACTCAAACGGGCAGCGAACATCTTTGCAAAATTTTAGCTTCGAGTGATAACTGGTTTTCCTGCTTTCGCTTCCCGCTAAAAAATTTAAGTCTTTTCTTTTCTGATCCAGCGTTTGCGATTCAGGCGCGCATGAACGGAAATTTCAGAACGGCGGGGATAAAAGGTAGCACCTGGAGTGCTTCAGCTTCTAGCTTCTCTGGTTCTCGAGTTAAAAATGGGCAACAAAGTTCGCGCACACACGCATACGCACAAATTCACAAACACACACAAATACACGCACACACACACACACACACACACCAACAACTTCTTGACAGTAATCGTTTTTATGCGTTTTGTGCTGTGTAACAGC